CGTGAGTTTCGTAACCGATCTGTGAGCACCTATCTACCATTGCGTATATTCCCGAGTGAACTTGGCAGAGTAGCGAGCCCGTGGCTTAGTAGTTAGAGCGTTGGACTTCTAATTAACACGGTCTCGGGATCAAGCCTCGGGGGGTCGTCCCTTGGGGTTGCCTATAACTGGCTGATGGTGGCTAATAAGCCAGAAATGGCCATGCCAGTCTCCCTTGTTTTTATCGGTAAGCTCATCTCTGCCCATACAGATATGCAGAGAGGAGTACTGGCAAAAACAAAAAAGACTAAACTGGAGAAGCATACGCAATCTCGGGGCTGGATAACATGGGATTACGCAACGGTCTCTTCGATATGTGAACGTCAAGTCAAGCTCTCTAACACGCAGGGAATAAATCTCCCCATACGCCTTATACGAAACTGGCAGGACAGGCTTCCATTGGCTCAACTGAGGAGCATTGAACATACGCATGCTCAATGCTCAAATAGTCTTGGTCGGGCTTCCAGGTTATCCAGACGTCGAGTTAACTGCGGACTGACTGACTGACGATGGCCAATAAACCCGAACTGGCCATCGGTACTATCAATTTTACTATTACTGGTGTATAAGCGATTTCTCGCGATGATCCTAGGTTCAACTTCGAGGGGCAAAGTGAAAAGCAGTGATCATAACCTCGTCACTGAATGAGATTGCTAACAAGGACAAGTGAGGCTGGAACGAACAGTTCGTCTCCAGTTTGGTCCTGCCGAGCTGTTTTGCCTGCCTCGCAGGCAGCCGCACAGTGCAGAGTGGGATTGCTGACAAAGACAGGGGGTGATTGGAATGACCCCTGTTTGTCTTAGTAGCCATCTGTAGTCAGCCAGATGCGAGTCCAGGTTTTGCAGCTCCTAAGGCTCAAACTCGCGACCAGCTCAGTGCACTTACAGTTGAGTCATGCGCTGTTTGTCCTGTCGGTTTAAACAAAGCATATGACCAATGGCGTCAACGACATGTTCAATACGAAATACTTATCCAACTATATTGTCTGGGAAGTTTGACAGGCGACACTAGGCTATAAACAAAGTAACGTATCATTTACCTAATATGTGCTCAAGTACATGGACCGAGTTATATAGGGACTGACGTTTCGGACACTCGCTTGTTTCCATTGTCAGAGTAACGTGGCGATTGTTCCCGTTTGCCGGGACGGTTTCAGCCTCGCTGTATGCCTGCTATTATATCCGTGCTCGGTGCACGAACTTT